TATTTTTGCTAGTTTCATATATCTATGTCTAAGATTTTGAAGTTAGTTTTTTGTATTATGGGTTAGAGTACTCCTTGTACTCCTTTTTAATATATCTTTTCTTTGCCTAAAAAAAAGGAAGTTAATTAAAATTAAAAGATTCACTAAAAAATTTACTTGTGCCACCATTATTATTATTATTGCTATTATCATCACCTTTTATAACGTGATAGTCACAATGATATGGATAATAATAATGAGAATAATAAGAAATATAACTTAAATGTGTTTTTAGTCCTAATAAAATTAACAAGTTTTAATTTTGATACCTATAAAAAATATTCTTTATTACTCATCCCTACAAAAGTAGAACTATATATATTTTTAGTCCTTATTTTTTATGTGATAGTTTTTAACTATTTTTTTATTTATTAAAAGATTAACTAACCATCTTATATGTTATATAAAATTATTATGGATATCATATAATTATTTAATATTTCTAAATTTTTTTATAAATTTTTAAAATAAATATTATTTATTTATCTTAAAATGATCATTAGGATTACAAATAATTAGGGATTACAAATAATGAATTTAGATTTCAGGAGATGAAAAGCAAAATTATTTAAGGAGTTAAATTCAAAATTTACTCATTTTATAATAAAAAAAAGTTTTTATAAATTTTAGAACAATGAGAAAAAAAAACTTTTTATAGAAAGCAAAATCAAAATTATCTATTTTACGAGAATTAAAAATATATTAAAATCTAAAAATATTATAATTTTAAGTAAATCTTTTAATTTCAATTTTTTTTTATGGATTCAAACTATTCTTATTTTTACCTTAACAAACCATTCTCATATGACACGGTTATATTTATATAATATAACTAATCTCTCTAGCAAACCATTAAACCAGCAAATGATCTAATAAAAGAATATTTTCAGACATGTTTGTATTTTTACGAATAAAACATTTAGTTCTGCGTGCTCAGAATAAGACATCCATGTAAAAGGCAACACAAACAACAATAAAATGATTTACGATCTAGACGAGCATTTATCTTTGCATCACAATAATGATCATATATAATGTACTCTACCATCTACATCCCATTAAAGTGTCACACGAAAGGTGTAAAGTCTTGGAATTAAAACTGGTTCCGACAAATTACTTTTTTACTTTCCCTATAAAAATTAAACAAAAGTATCAAAAAGCTTTACCTTTCTCACGCACTCAACACAATTGACTTGACGCTGAAAATTTTCTACAGAAAAAAAAAACAATAAGGTGATAATCACATCATTTAATTCGTTTGTTTTGGTATTAACCAAGTAAATTGTTTTTATGCTGCTCCATTGAATTCGGACCTACATATTTTGTTGTTTCGTGTATTATTCTTTTTAGCCAATATCCACATATGCATGTGTTAGAATGTGACACAATTGTCCATATATAGAAATTTTTATTAGGAGTTGGAAAACATTTTACTCCCCAGTCCTCACTGCTGGTATAATAAATTGACGTGAATGATAGAGAAAATTTGACAAGGAGACAAATGGCATCTTAGGCACTAAGAAAAGAAAGGAAATGACGTACGCCACAAAATTAAATTTTACAAATTTAAAATGATTAATAACATTAGACTTTTACGATAAAAAAAGTTATACACATATAAATACAGAAAGTCACAGTAATCTAAATAAAACTATATAATTAAGATATTACAGATACTTAAAAAAGTTTTGTCAAAATTATTTTAGTGTGAAATAAATCAATTTAAATTAATATAGTTGTAGCACTCTTTAAGATTTAAAAATTTTATGATTAATTATATAGAAAATTCATGTTACAACATGCGTTTCTTAGATGGGACAGTGCAAGAAAGTGATAGTTTGAATGGACGATGGTGAACATTACACAGGCTGGCCATGCAGCAGCTTCACGAGGAAGACAGTCAAAAAGCATGAAAACGAGTGGTAATAGTATGAAACTTAAGGAAACAAAGTTAAATACTTGGGTACATACATACTCAAGGGGAATATGCTTAATTACACCCAAAAATATTCCTCTTCTATATGAATACTAATGCTAAGTGTTCTATATTTATAATTAATTTGTTCTATGACGTATCAACATTCAGTAAATATAGTTAATGTAACTAAACAATACTTTGAAATCACACTTTTTCCGATCACTTGTTGACTTAAATTAAAGTTGAATTCTCTCCACCAATAGCAGAAAATTGTACCTCTCAGTGGAAAATTATATATAACTCTTAATTAATTCATAAGATTGAAAACTTAAATTAACATTCTCTTTATATCACGTAAGTGATTCAAATGAGAAAAAAATATAAGACACATTTATCTTAAATAGTCAAGGAATAAAAAAAAAAAAACTAAAACTCATGACACTATAAAATAAATTATTATATGGTGACAAATGTTCTATTATTTATTATTAAAAATTAGTTTTACTTATACTATAGATATAATATATATTAATATATTGGTAAAAAAATATAATTATAAATTATATAGTGACATATAATATATATTATTAAATTTTACTCTAAATTAAAATTAAAGTTATGTGTAATTATATGTTAAAATAGATTTATATCTATCTATCTTTATACATATATATATATATATATATAAATACTTTTTGTATATCTTATATAAAGTATTTCTTGTAGTGTAAATAGTTTTTTTTTTTTTTTTTTGTGTTTTTTTTTTTTTTTTTTTTTTTTTTTTTTTTTTTTTTTTATATATAAATTTTGAAATAACACTTATTTGATACTTTAAAATTTCAAAGTAACTAAAGGAATAAACTTTTGTTTCTAACAATATTAAAAATTTATCAATAAAATGTTAAAAACAGACATATATTACTTTCACATACGAAAATTATATATTTCAAAATATCTATTAGTATAAATTTCAAATAAATTTTATATATTCAGATATTATTTGTATATATAATTTTTAAAAATATTATTATATAAAATAAATATTTAATATATAACCTGGGCATGCTAAAAGACCGACTAAAAACATGTTCAAAGATTACGACAATCAAATAAGGTTTAAGAAGGGAAAAAAAAAAAAACGAAAACAAAGCAACGACTCTTTTAAAAAATTAAATAAAAACCTTCGAAATTTATATATAAAAAATTGAATCTAGATATATCGTCAAGAAAGGATCACACAACATTATCTTTAATATTTTTTATTATTATTAGCTAATATTTATTTAAATTTTTTTTATTTTTAACAAATTTCAGTCATTATAAAGCGTTGGAAAGAACATAAATGATAAATAGTGCAAGATGAAATTTTCATACAAATAGTTGATTGGTTATTTATAATTTTCCCTACTTAATTACCTATAACCTTACACCCTTATCTTAATTGGTTAATATTATTGGTTAAGGTTAGGGGTTTGAATCCTTTGTGTATGCAACCACGTTAAATCTTGGGGCCAGCTATCTCACCCCTTGAGGTGTCTCCAACGTAGCGAGTAGATTAGTCATTGCTGTTGGCGGTGAATACTCTAGGGATGAACCAAAATATATATATATATATATATATATAAAAGTTATTTTCAAATTTAAGTTGTTATCCCTAATTACAACCTATTTCATAAGTAATTTCTTAAAAAAAAAAAACACACACAAAATTTGGAATTATAATTTTTCCTAAACATGCTATGTAGTATAAAAAGTTACATATTAGTGTGATTAACCATTAAAGAAAAATTATATTTGTTAGACATTAATAAAAATTATTTATTACTTACAAAATATCACGTTATTTAATTTTATTTATAGTTTAAACTAATACTTTTTTTTTGTATATATTTCCCATTTTTATAAAATATTAAAATAAGAAAAAAATTAAATATAAATATATCATTTTATAATTAATTATAAAATAAAAAATAAACATTTTTTTTCCTAATCAAACAAATACTTGATATCCCTACAGAATTAATGGAGCTTAGATGTATTGCCAAGATGATAATGACTCTTATTAATAAAAATATCAAAACATGTCAATTAACGAATACGAAACAATTATTATATACGTAAATATATTTTGATAACTCTATGCATAAACACTTAAACTTCAATAAATAAAAAAAAATATAATTTGATATATACTTGAGCATCAAAGCTTTTGAATCCTATGTATAAAAAAGGTTAAAAAAAAAAAAAAACTTTTGGAGATTCTCCACGCGCCGTGCTTCTGGATTATGTTAGAAGCAATAGTTAATTCATTACCGTATAAGACGCACGAGTATTCTCTCCAAGTCCATATGAACAAAGAAAGTTGGAAGTGGTTTCTTGCAACTAAAGTGAGACAATTAGTGTTATTCACTTTAACTTTTAAGAAAATAGATTTGAAATATGTAAAGAAAAATTTAAATACTGATTAATTGTACACGATATTGAATGCAGTCAAATAACGTCAACAAATAAAGTATATCTTATACAAGAAATATCATCATTACATTTCTTTTACAACATTCTTTATTGTTATCATGACCTCGTGTTTATTTTAAGTTCCATCCCTTTTTAATTAATTTAGGAAATTTGAACCATGATCTTATATAATATTATATATGGAACAAAAATATTTTAAAATAAATTGTGTACTTACATGTAATCGAGTATATATGTTTGCAAAAATAAAACTGATCAAGTCTCTTTATTTTTACCGATTAAAATTTAAGATTGAATTCGATTTTATAATTTTTTTAAAAGAGATTAATTCTATCATTATATGAGATATTGTGTTAATCTAAATTTTTATGAATAATAAAAAGTATATCTGTGTATGAAACAAGGAAAAAAAAAATATTCGTTTTATATTATTTTTGTTACAATTATTTTATAGTAAACGTCACACCAGTTGATAATGATAAGAAAGTGTGTTGAAGAAGTTCTTTTTCAATAAGTGTAAAAGGGTTCCACGAGATATATACCATATATTAGAATTTAGAAGTGAACAGAAATCATATACAGACCACTCATGTTAACATCATCAATACTAACCTAATTCGAGATTTCTTCTCTTTTTTTTTTTCCTAGGTTTTGATTGAACTTGCAAGAAGTATCATCAGCAATTCCCGAGTTTCAGGAATTTGAAATTTTCTATGCATGTTTGGTTGTGTATGGTCTCATCTTGAAGCAACTTATTTAGGAAAATCATAGTACAAAAGGGACTTTGATTGGATTTTGAAAACTGCTCTTTATCTTATAATTAAAGAGTTGTACAATGAAGGCTATGCATGGATCGAGAAGGTGGGGTGTGAAATTGGCTGCTGAAAGGGTTCTGATTGTTTTTCTTCTTCTTTCAGTCTATGTTACTTCTTCTCATCAAAATACAGACCAGAAAACAATGTCAGCATCCAATGAGACGAAAGGGGTTGATACTAATGATCATGTTAAGGGTTTTTACAAACACACATGGCCGGTAAGAGTGTTCACTTCAGAAATTTACATACTTCTTAGTTTGAGTCAATTTCAAGTAACCACAATATAGTAATAAGATTTTCTAGGGTTGATACTTGATACTAATTAATGATCATGCATAGTGTTTTTATTATATTAAGGACATTGAATTGTGGAATCGTGATTACCTTTGTGATATGTTTATGTTTTTTCGGTTGTAGGGGATGAAATTTGGGTGGAAAATAATAGTGGGGAGCATAATTGGGTTCCTAGGATCAGCATTTGGGACTGTAGGAGGTGTTGGTGGGGGTGGCATCTTCGTGCCTATGCTTACCCTTATTGTTGGATTCGATGCAAGATCAGCAACAGCAATATCAAAATGTAAGAACTCGAACTATATATTTTTCTTCAATCCTCTGATATTTGTTAAAAAATTATAGCATTGGGTTATGAGATGCATTGCATGGCATATGCGGGTGGTACTAGCTTGCTTTGCTTAATAGATACTCAATGCCAAAACTCTTAACAGTATTAAATTATTTGCATGTTTTGACGTGTACCATGTTTGATAAACAACCATTTTGGAGGAAATGGTTATTTTTTTTAAAACTCTTAACATGCACGTTTAGATCTCGGAGCTGTCTTCTCTAGTATGAGTTGATGCATAAAATGACCATTAATTCTTGAATAACACCTTCATTTCGTTAGTTTTCATTTCATTTAGATAATATTTCTTTATTCTTTTTCCTAATTGTGGCTAGTAAAGAGTGTATTAATAAATTTCTACCAAACAAATATAGTCCAAGTTAGATGAATAACTTAATTAAGATGTTCATCTAATCAAGTCCGAGACTTCAAATACGCGTACATAATTAAGTAACGTGTCTCAAACTCAAAGTTTGGACTTCCCCTCTAAGCTAGGCTTTTATGAGGATTTCTAATTTAAACCAGGTGTGGACCCCTAGAGGTTAATATATTATACTAAAGAAACTAGGTGTGGAACCGTACTTCTTTTGCGAGTTCTTCTATACACGTTTCAAGAAAAAAAATTGTCAATTCCAGAATCCTATAGCATAGTTTAGAGCATGCACATTTTATTTGCTTCTCAGCTTCGTGAATCTCCACGAAAACTATAACTATAATCAATTCATCTACTCGTTGCATCAAGTTTATAACAGCTACCATAAGTTCTTGTTATGGTCTGTACACATGAAAACATCTTTCTATATGTTTGCTATTAGGTGTGTGACTCGATGAATATCAAGTGAAAGCAATTATAATTAATGACAAAGAAAATATTTAAGCATATGAACCAAATCGACTTAATGATAGTTGAAAACTTGATTTGTCAATTAATTTGTTAAACTTGATTGATAAATTAAATAAATTAAAAATTAAGTTTGTTAAATAAATGAGTTAAACATGAATTATATAGAATTAGATTAATTTTATACTAGTATTATATAGGCTAAATATTCATTATATATAATAAAACTTATAATAGATTATATATACAAATAAATATCAAATATATAAATTATATTAAAAATTTATATAAATTAAAATTATATTTAAGTATATAAATTATATTTAAAATCATATTAAACTTGGGTCAAACTTAGACTTTGAGATGATTTTTTTTTTTTTTTTTTTATCAATTTGAGATTGATTCACCTCGAACCGGTTCATTTTCAATCTTAATTTAAAGTTTATAATATTTATTCTAATTCAACTAAATAATAAATCTAGCTATATATATATTCCTGTTAGGGGACAACAACAATATTTAATGATTAATGAGCAACAAAAGATAAATCCTCTCACTTGTAAGAATCTATGGAAAACAATCTATCAAGTATATATGACAAAATTGAATAACGTATATAGATTAATCAAGAGACACCAAGTTTTTTACACGAAAAAACTCCATAATGTAAGAAGTAAAGAGCACAAGTACAAGAGTCAATCAAGTTCAATTATAATCAAAATAGGTGTACAAGGGAATTTCAAACAAGTATACAAACCATGCTCAACAGCAAGATAAAAACCCAAGACCTATAAAGTGTTTAATGCATCCGAGTTTACCTAAGTTTGACATCCTCACTAGTTGGATCATGAGTCATGATCGAGTCAAATTTGGTTTTTAAAGAAGAATAAATTACATTTAATGTTATCCTTTGTCAATTTTTTTGTTTTTTATAAACTTTTTTTTTTTTATCATTAAACATTCTTTAACGTTAAGGTTAAAAGTAATAAAGAAAAGTATAGCAAGCAAAATTAGTGATACCGAAAAGTATAGAAGGGTGTATTGAAAAGGTGCAAAATTACAATAAGTAATTTGTCCTCTAAAAAATGACCCCGTTAAAGTATTGGGCCACGTTGAAGATCGAACATAGAGAAACCTATCTCAAGGATGCTTCTATTTTATTTTACGTAACAAATATAATTCTTAATAGAAAAAAAAAGGTTAAACACTAGCAAGGACTAATGTGCACTCATTTTCTGTAGTGTATATGTTAAATATCAAAATAATTAAACCAAAAAGGACAAAATATCCTTTGTAAAACTCTACTAAAAACACATTTGCTTTGTGATTGTGACAAGTTTTAAGCTTGTTCTGACCATGGCTACTCAAATTAGATACAATATGAGCATGTTGTCAATTTTGAATTATCCATGATCATATTGTACTTCTTTGGACCCTTATATGGGTGAATTCTGTATTTTTCTGTTTTTTTGTTGAAGGCATGATTACGGGTGGAGCGGGAGCAACCGTTTTCTACAATTTGAGGCAAAGACACCCAACTCTTGACATGCCTGTGATTGACTATGACTTAGCACTTCTTTTTCAACCAATGTTGATGCTTGGAATCAGTATTGGAGTTGCTTTCAATGTGATTTTCCCTGACTGGATGCTAACAACTTTGTTAATAGTAGTTTTCATAGGTATGAATTGCTTAAGGTTGAATCTGTGCTCTAGTTTTTTTTCTTCTTTGCTTACTTATCATATGATGTAGTCTGGACTCTGGATGTGAAACAGGCCTTTCAGTCAATGCATTCTTAAAGGGTGTCCAAACATGGAAAAAAGAAACCATTATTATGAAGGTTGCTTAAACATACCTCATCCTTATATATTAAATTTACTTGAATTAATACACAATTTAGTCTCCGAAAGTAAAGCACTTGTGTTCTTTCATCCTTGAAATATTTCTTCTATATAAATGGTTATCAAAAGTGTCAATTTGGTAACAAGTTTATCCTACTTATAAGTGTTCAACTTGTAAACAAGTACATCCCTTAAAGGACTAATATAGACATGCACTTTTTAAGGACCAAAGCAATTCAAGATGTCACTTTCATGGACTAAATTGAATATTAACAAACTTATTTATTTATTTTTTTTAATTTTATTGCTTTGATTTAATGCATCCAAATTATATTTCCAGGAAGCTAGGCAGAATTCACGGCTAAATGGCAAGTGTTTTGATTTTATTTTTTTTCTGTTATAAACTAGTATAGCAGTCATCAAGCATGTCATGCTAATTTTCAGTCTAATCAGATAATGGAAGAACCGATAATGCTGCACAACTTCAAACAGAAGAAACGGTCAATGGAAGTCAAACAAATACCAACCAACCAAGGAAAAAAGTAGTGGAAAATGCACTGTTGCTGCTTGTATTTCCGTGCTCGACACCTATTCTTTCTAATAAAATCTAAAACTGCTCTGCAGGTTTCTGTTATTGACAATATTTATTGGAAGGAACTTGGACTTCTTGTAACTGTGTGGATCTTGATACTTGCACTACAGATAGGAAAAGTTAGTGTCTAATGAGCTTTTCAACTCATTTTTTTTAATTAACATTTTTGGTACATTTTAAGTATTTGTTTTTCGGTATATCAGTTTTTCATTTTATTGCATGTATTGGAGACCTTTGAACTTAGACTGATGCTTATATATGCCTTTTTTTTGAAACAGAATTACACTACAAATTGCTCAGCTGTGTATTGGGTATTGAATCTATTGCAGGTACACAATACTATATATTCAATAGCTAGAAACTAAAGTTTTCTTATAGTTTCCACTCTCCAACTTAATCAAGCCAATGTGGGGTTATGAAATCAAGTGTTGAACATCAAGAATTTGATTTGGCCTTAACTTCAAATTTGGATGCAGAACCTGAACCATTGAACCAACAATATAATATCAATTTTTTTCATATGCTATAATCTTAATTAGACTAAATTAATCTTTAATCTCTTTTTTTATTTAATTAGTTCAATTTAGTCTTGTCTTTCTGTTCAATTATGTGTCATCATATTATTGTGCCACGTTTTCATAGAGTTAATGTCATAGTCTCAATTGAATCGAAAGGACCAAATTAATTTTTTTTCAGTAATTTAGCTTATCAATTATGGTGATGATTGTTTTCTTTTTGTCCCCTTGTGTTTCAGGTCCCGATCACTGTTGGAACAACTTTATATGAAGCCGTGCTTCTATACAAAGGGCAGAGAGTGATATCCTCAAAGGGTGATCAACAAACACGTTTGAGTGTACGGCAATTATTTCTATATTGCACTTGTGGCATACTTGCTGGCATAATTGGTGGTTTGCTTGGCCTTGGTGGAGGATTCATCTTGGGACCCCTTTTCATTGGATTAGGAATTCCTCCTCAGGTACGTACGTTTTATCCTTGTATGACTATTTTAATGTTGGTCCACTTGGAACTCACTCATTGGGATTTTTTTCTACCAAGGTTTCAAGTGCTACATCCACTTTTGCAATGACATTTTCTGCATCTATGTCAGTGGTAGAATACTACCTTCTCAAACGTTTCCCGATTCCTTACGGTAAGTACGGATCAACGGACATTAATTAAAGGAATTACAGGAGTAATTCTATCATTTCCACGTGCACACACATAGTTAGGCCCTAGTGATTAATTACTTGGTTAAAAGAAAGAATAAATGATATATGTAGTAACAGAATAAATAGTGTAATATTATCATAAGCTGTCATGTCATGCAAAGTTACTTGACTTTTATACCAGACTGTTGTGAAATATAGTGGAGGATTATGTTTCCGATGGTGGGGTGGCAGTTCCGGTGATGGCGATACCAAGTTCTTGTGGTGATACTACAAGGACTTCAGCATATAGATCAAGTATATTCAAAAGAGAGTGAATACATAGTGTAGGAGTCTCTTTATATAAGGTCATTTATGCGAAAAAGTTTTGTTACGTAGTTATGTTATGTGGCTATTGTCATTGTTAATTCATGTGTCATGTGTTAAGTCTATTTTTTTAACGTAAAACCTTAATTCGGTTTTATCTAAGACTCATATTAGATAAATCCTGACTAGTTATATCTTTTAAAGGGGTAGATCGAACATAAGTTGGACCGACCTCCACAACAAAGATGATATCTTTTATTTAGATAACTATTAAACTAAAATCTAAAAGAAGGAGGCTGTTACACTATAAGTACAAATTAAATTACTTGCTAATATGTTTGATTATCTTGCAGCACTTTACTTTGTAGCTGTAGCCACTGCTGCTGCACTTTCTGGGCAGCATTTGGTGAGAAAGCTTATTGCTATACTGGGGAGAACCTCTTTGATCATTTTCATCCTTTCGCTCACAGTTTTTGTGAGTGGAATATCACTAGGCAAGTGCAATTTTCAGAGATTCTTTTGGATTCTTCCTTTTTAGTGATCAGGGGTACTACTGTATCAGTACTATTACTAACTTGTGGCTGCTGTTTACTCACATCTTATTTTATTATAATACAAAAGACAACTTGTCTTGCTTTTGGTTATAGTGAGTAAAAAATATGAATAAAATATCAATGAATTTAGCTGGAATCAGTTGGAATATACTCATATGATAAAAGTTTTCAAAGTAGTTTTTTTCATACAAAAATTTAATAATAATTTATCCTTTTGCCACACCATCTCATTCATCAATATGATTTGGTAATAAGAAGATGACTTAATAACACAATGCATTTCAAATTAAACAAATAGTGAGCATACATTTTTACTTGCTTACTTTAAAAAGAAAATTACTTTAGAGAAAACACATGCTTTCACATTCCAAGTAGTATATTACAAATTTACAATGACTTAACTTTTTTTTTTTTCTTTTCCAAATTACAGGTGGAGTAGGCATAGCAAACTTCATTAAAAGGGTTGAAAAGAAGGAGTACATGGGGTTTGAAGACCTTTGCTCGTACAGGGTTAGAAATTAAAATGGAGATGTGTAGTTTCCAAGTGCGATGCCCTTCACAACAGTTTTGTGTTTTCCAGAATTGTATTAAGAAATTTATCTTTGTTTCTTAACTAATTGATTATTCAGCAAAAATCTATGACTATTTTAAAGACGCACTACTAATTAAGTTTAATTAATATACAACTTTGTGTTAAACATTTTTAATTTTAGCAAATAAATTGTTTATACCAATTATATTCTAAAACACTAATTTTTGATATATTCACACACGTTTTCCATAAATTCCATACATGTGTTCTACATTTCATTAAATGAAACGAGTTTCCAAGAATATTCAAAAGGAGGTGATGAACATTGACTGTACATAACTATATCTTTTTAATTCCTCTGTATTTAGAAATTCAATCTTCAAATATTTATACGAATTTGATATATATTTAACATTAAAGCTCTTGGTTTTGGACCCTCCACAAACCGTAGTGCTTGTGGCTTATTTAAAGCACTTACTAGTTTATTAGGCGAATTATACACTGTCCACAAATCGCCAAGAAAGTATGTGTAATTGTATAAGAGATAAAAGATGAGATAAGCCAATAAACACAAAGAACAAGGACAGCATGCTTGTTATCAATACGACTCTGACCTAAGTTGTTTTCTTGTACCTAAATTTTGATTGAATTTAAACATTATCAAAAATTACCAAGCAGCCTCCGGATTCCTATTTCAATTAAAAATTTACTTCATTTAATAATTTATATATTAAAGATAAACATCACGATTTCCATTAAAAAAAATACACATCAGTTATTAATATTAAATTTATTAAATAAAGCATGATGCTTTGAGAGTGAGCAACTAATTTCATGATAATTATTTATTAAATATCAACAATAAAAATGTTGTTTGAGATCTTGCCAGAGGGAAAGTAAAAAAAAAAAAGTATAAGTTAGTAAAAATCTTCAACTTACAAATTAATTTTATTAGATTAAGTTAAAAGTTACATTTTAATATGGTAACAGAATCTATCCTAGCAAATGTTGTTGCTATTAGATTTTTATTAGATTACTCACATATGTCCAGTACTATAAATTTCATCTTTAAGATGTTCGGTCTTTAGTGTAAGAAAAGTTTTTTACAAATTTCACATCAACTAAAGTTAAAGTCAACAAAGAATATATAAATGAAAAATAATCTTCACCTAACAAGCATATACTAAAATGAAATATTCTTTGTGCCTAAAGTCATGTTATTTGCTTTGTACTTGTGGCAATTATTAAGCTTGTTTTAAATATTCTTCTTTGGAAACTTATATGAACAGAATCTATGTTTGTGTTTGTTTGATGAAGGCATGATTACGGGTGGAGCAACAGCAACAGTTTTCTACAATTTGAGGCAAAGACAACCCACCCTTGATTTGCCCGTCATTGACTATGACTTAGCACTTGTTTTCCAACCAATGTTGATGCTTGGAATCAGCATTGAAGTTGCTTTCAATGTCATCTTCCCTGAGTGGATGCTAACAGTTCCTTTTGATTATAGTGAGTAAAAAATATGAATAAAATATCAATGAATTTAGCTGGAATCGGTTGGAATATACTCATATGATAAAAGTTTTCAAAGTAGTTTTTTTTATACAAAAATTTAATAATAATTTATTCTTTTGCGACACCATCTCATTCATCAATATGGTTTGGTAATAAGATGATGAGTTAATAACACAATGCATTTCAAATTAAACAAATAGTGAGCATACATTTTTACTTGCTTACTTTAAAAAAAAAAAAATACTTTAGAGAAAACACATGCTTTCACGTTCCAAGTAGTATATTACAAATTTACAATGACTTAACTTTTTTTTTTCTTTTCCAAATTACAGGTGGAGTAGGCATAGCAAACTTCATTAAAAGGGTTGAAAAGAAGGAGTACATGGGGTTTGAAGACCTTTGCTCGTAGGGTTAGAAATTAAAGATGGAGATGTGTAGTTTCTAAGTGCGAGGCCCTTCACAACAGTTTTGCGTTTTCCAGAATTGTATTAAGAAATTTATCTTTGTTTCTTAACTAAACTAATTGATTATTCAGTAGAAATCTATGACTATTTTAAAGCCGCACTACCAATTAAGTTTAATTAATATACAACTTTGTTGTAAAACATTTTTTATTTTAGCAAATAAATTGTTTATATCAATTATATTCTAAAACACTAATTTTTGATATATTCACACACGTTTTCCATAAATTCCATACATGTGTTCTACATTTCATTAAATGAAACGAGTTTCCAAGAATATTCAAAAGGAGGTGATGAAAATTGACTATACATAACTATATCTTTTTAATTCCTCTGTATTTAGAAATTCAATATCTTCAAATATTTATACGAATTTGATATATATTTAACATTAAAGCTCTTGGTTTCATCCTTTCGCTCACAGTTTTTGTGAGTGGAATATCACTAGGCAAGTGCAATTTTCAGAGATTCTTTTGGATTCTTCCTTTTAGTGATCAGGGGTACTACTGTATCAGTACTGTTACGAACTTGTGGCTGCTGTTTACTCGCATCTTATTTTATTAAAATACAAAAGACAACTTGTCTTGCTTTTGATTATAGTGAGTAAAAAATATGAATAAAATATCAATGAATTTAGCTGGAATCGGTTGGAATATACTCATATGATAAAAGTTTTCAAAGTAGTTTTTTTTATACAAAAATTTAATAATAATTTATTCTTTTGCGACACCATCTCATTCATCAATATGGTTTGGTAATAAGATGATGAGTTAATAACACAATGCATTTCAAATTAAACAAATAGTGAGCATACATTTTTACTTGCTTACTTTAAAAAAAAAAAAATACTTTAGAGAAAACACATGCTTTCACGTTCCAAGTAGTATATTACAAATTTACAATGACTTAACTTTTTTTTTTCTTTTCCAAATTACAGGTGGAGTAGGCATAGCAAACTTCATTAAAAGGGTTGAAAAGAAGGAGTACATGGGGTTTGAAGACCTTTGCTCGTAGGGTTAGAAATTAAAGATGGAGATGTGTAGTTTCTAAGTGCGAGGCCCTTCACAACAGTTTTGCGTTTTCCAGAATTGTATTAAGAAATTTATCTTTGTTTCTTAACTAAACTAATTGATTATTCAGTAGAAATCTATGACTATTTTAAAGCCGCACTACAGTTAATAACACAATGCATTTCAAATTAAACAAATAGTGAGCATACATTTTTACTTGCTTACTTTAAAAAAAAAAAAATACTTTAGAGAAAACACATGCTTTCACGTTCCAAGTAGTATATTACAAATTTACAATGACTTAACTTTTTTTTTTCTTTTCCAAATTACAGGTGGAGTAGGCATAGCAAACTTCATTAAAAGGGTTGAAAAGAAGGAGTACATGGGGTTTGAAGACCTTTGCTCGTACAGGGTCATGAGCTGTTCTACTCACAATTTGAGTTTTTCATTTTCTAGCATTGGTGAGCTATTTGTTCAACATAATATGATCATAACATATGCCTCTGTTTTGAAACAGAAACAAACAACAACTTGCTCGCGGTTATATTGGCTATTGAATCTACTTCAGGTATAAACTACTATAGGAGAATTTAATTTCTGAAAACCATAGCTGTCATCTTATATTTTTCACTCTCGATCTCAATCAAGCCAAAATGGCCTCATTGTTGAGTGTTGAGTACTAAGAGCTAATAGTTTCATATATTTTTGGTTCTAGAACCAATGAACCATCTATATCATGGTGACTATTTGATGTATTTATTTGATTGTTTTCAGGTCCCCATAGCTGTAGGAATGAGTTCATATGAGGCTGTGCGTCTATACAAAGGGAAGAGAATCATAGCATCAATGGGAGATCAACAAACACATTGGAGAGTGTTGCCTTTAATTCTATTTTGTGCTTGTGGCACACTTGCTGGCATGATTGCTGGTTTGCTAGGCCTTGGTGGAGGATTCATTTTGAGCATAGTAGTCAATCCCGGATAGCGGCGCGGAGCGGCCGACCCTAAAACTGGGATAGCGGGATGACGCGGAGCGGGATAACCGCTATTTAAATATTAATTTATATATATTAAATAATTAATAATATATATATAAAAGCTAAAAAAACAAAAAAATAACTCTAAATTCATGCATTAAACATTTTTAATAATTAAAAGTTCATAGTACTCAAACAATACATAATATAAAATGTCTCCAAAACAAAGTGTTAAAGCTCTAAGTAAGTAAAAAATTAAACATTATAATCAGAAATTAAAAATAAAATTTGCTAAATTAAATTTAATCAGAAATTAAAAATAAAATTTGTTGAATTAAATTTAATCAGAAATTAAAAATAAAATTAGCTGAATTAAATTTAATCAGAAATTAAAAATAAAATTTGTTGAATTAAATTTAATCAGAAATTAAAAATAAAATTAACTGAATTAAATTTAATCAGAAATTAAAAATAAATTTTTCTGAATTAAATTTAATTAGAAATTAAAAATTAAATTTGCTGAATTAAATTTAATCAGAATTTAAAAATAAAATTTGTTGAATTAAATTTAATCAGAATTTAAAAATAAAATTTGTTCAATTAAATTTAATCAAAAATTAAAAAAAAAATCAGTTGAAATAATTTAATAAATAATTAAAAAAAAATATGTTGCATGTTGCATAAAAGACAGAACCAAGGAGAATAGGGGAATAGAAGAAGACAAACGCGAGTCGGGGGAAGAAGAATAGAAGACAAACGCGCATTGGAGCTTGCGGCCACGTCGGAGCTGCGTCAGACCTGGAGGCTCGTCGGAGTCGGAGGTGCGTCGGAGCTGGAGGCGCGTCGCCGATGGAGGTGCGTCGGAGCCGGAGTTCGTCGGAGCTGCACGCGATCGCCAGAGAAGAAGAAACAGAGAGGGAGAGACGAGCCGAGGTGTTTGTTTTGGATGAGTCTGAAATCGCGAGAGGGAAGGGATGATTAGGGCAAAAAAAGCCCATTGAAAAGACTGACTTACCCTTAATGAAGGGTAAGTCTGAAATCGCGCCCGCGAATCCGCGATTTGGGCCGCTCCGCTACGCCTCCGACGCGGCCGCTCCAGCCGCTACAAAAATCCGCCACGCGACAGCAGCCACATTGCGGGGTGAGGCCGCTCCGCTCCGGAGTGCCGCGATAGCGGCCGCTCCGACCGCTATTGACTACTATGATTTTGAGACCCCTTTTCCTTGGACTAGGAATTCCTCCTCATCAGGTACCTTCTTTTTGCCATAAAGTCTGAAAATTTTACTTGGAATTCACTCTGACTAGAGAATTTTCCAAAGGTTGCAAGTGCTACATCAACATTGGTAATAGCATTTTCTGCATCTTTGGCAGTGGTGGAATATTACCTTCTCAAACGTTTCCCTGTTCCTTATGGTAAGTATTGATGAATGGACTTAACTCAAGGCATTTTAACAATATGTGAGAGCATGGTAATTTTTCCATGATGCAACAAGAGCATATACATAGTAATAGAGGATTCTACAAGAGCATACAGATAGCAATATATTATGGATTTTTGAATGATAAAGTTTGGATCATGTTGCAGCTCTTTACTTCGTAACTATAGCTAATGTGTGTATAAATTGTCTTTGCATTCATACTTTAGTTTAGGCCATTTGCATATATTATTGCATTGTTTGAATGATTTTATCATGTATTATCTTTGTTTTATATTACACTTTTGGTTTTCTTGTTTTTCTTTGTAAATAAGTGTTTTAGGTGCTTAAATCATTGTTTAAAGAGAACAAGTATCCAGATGGAAGAGTTGAAGTCAGAAAATTTCGCAGACAGGTTGTGGGCTTGGGCCAAATGAAAAGAAGAGGAAAAGACAACTCTTAAAATTTTAAAAAGAAAAAGAAAAAGAAAAGAAAAAAAGAGTCTGAAAATAAAAGAGGAATAATTAGAAGAAGAAAAAAAGGAGAACTAATAGTCAGAGAGAGGAACGACTTATCAAGAGGAGATCAACTCACCATCGGAAGATGAACGACTCATCAGTCTTTTTTGGTTTTTCCTTTTTCATTATGCAGAACTAATTTTCTTTTTGTTAGAATATTGATGTAATATTCTGGATCATAGTTTCTGAACCTTGTCAATTGATGTTTGGTTAATTTTAATTATCTCAGTGTTCTATCCATGTTTCTAATCTTTATTCTATGAACAACTTTACAATTGGGAGATTGGAGATTGTTTACGATTATAGATAGAACATATTAGGTTTTGTCACAATTGGAAAATTGGGCATATCTAATTAGTTTGTGTTTGATATGATAATTGTTCTTCATGATTCTATTGAGTTTCATAATTGTCCTAAGGAATTGGGGATTAGGGTTCAATGAATAGATTTACTTGCCTAAGGGATTAGGGGTAAATAACTCTTAATAAACTCAAGTGGGTAATTACAATTCTTGCATCAATTGAAAAGGGTAAGAATCTATAGGAAATAATATGAAATTAATTCTCTAACAATTTTAATATTGAGTGAAATTTTGTTAATTTTCTACGTTCGTTGTTCCATCTATTTTTTAATTGCTCAAAATTAACGTAAATTAGTAATTTAGTATTCAACAAATTCAATCCCTGAGGATGATAATATTATTACTACAGTAACGATTGGTACACTTTCCATACGTGCAATAAGTTCTTGGTGCCGTTGCCGAAGATTGAATTTTCTATTGATATTAATGATCTAATAGACTTGAGATTTTGAGCTGCAAATTTTAGATAGTTCATCCTGTTCTGTTTTATTTTTTTATTTTTGTTTTTATTATTGTTATTATTTTTGTTTTTTTATTGTTGTTATTATTTTTGTTATTTTAGAATTTTTTGTATTTTAGTATTTTGTGTCTCTAAGCTGTTTATGCGAGGTACTAATGTCATGAAGGATTTGCTTTTTGATCCAGAAATTGAACGTACTGCTAGAAGGAATAGAAGTAGTGCAAAAAAAAAGGAGAGACAGAGCAAGACAAGTACAAGCACAAACACTACTTAATCAAACAAAGCAAGCATCAACAATGGCAGAACAACTTGTGAGGAGGACCCTTCGGGACTATTCTATGCCAGATCCTAATAGTTACAGAGAGAGCATTGTGAGGCCTCCTATTCGGGCCAATAATTTTGAAATTAAGCCTGCACTGTTACAAGTCATCCAACAAAATCAGTTTGGAGGTGCAGCTTCCGAGGATCCAAATTCTCACCTGAAGATCAACGGAGCTACTGACGATGCAGTCCTCTTGAGGCTTTTTCCTTTTTCATTATGGGATAAAGCTAAGAGTTGGCTTCATTCACAACCTCAAAGGAGTATTTCTACATGGGATGATTTGGCTACAAAATTTGTGAACAAATACTTTCCTCCATCCAAATCAGCAAGAATGAGAAATGAGATCACTACTTTTGTGCAACAAGAATCTGAATCCTTATATGAGGCATGGGAAAGGTACAAAGAGCTAATCAGGAAGTGTCCTCATCATGCTTTACCAGATTGGCTGCAGGTGCAAATTTTCTATAATGGCCTTTCACCCTCTTTTAAGGCAATTTTGGATGCAACAAGTGGAGAGTCATTTAATTTGAAAACACCAAAGGAAGCTTTGGAAACTCTTGAATTGATGGCAAATAATACAGTGAATATACAGTTTGATCGCCAAAATAAGAGAGGTGGAGTATTGGAGGTTAATACTTTGGATGCTATCTTAGCTCAGAACAAGCTGTTAACCCAACAAATTACTGATCTGACTCAACAGTTAGGTAGTATGCAAGCTAAAACTATTAATACATCATCCTTATTGGTGTGTGATTTTTGTGGAGGAACGCATCAAAATGGTGAATGTCAAGCCACTCAACAAGAAGCACATGTTAATGCATTGGGGCAACAACAGAATCAGTATTCTAATAACTATAATGCAGGTTGGAGAAATCCACCAAATAGACCTTGGGGTGGTCTAGCACAATCTAGCCAACCAATGCCTCCTTACCAATATCAAACACAATCTAGCAATCAAGGGAGGAAGATGTTTACTTTGGAGAGTGATTTAGAAAAATTATCTTTGCAAACCTCTACCTTTGTGGAGCAAACTTCCAACTTCATGAATGAGACTAGGACAAATTTCAAGAACCAAGAAGCTTCAATCAGAAATTTGGAGAATTAGATTGGTCAAATTTCAAGATAACTTTCAGAGAGACCTCCTAGTACATTTCCTAGTGACACCATTACCAACCCAAGGGAACAATGTAAGGCAATTCAATTTAGGAGTGGAAAGGTGTTAATGAATGAGAAAAAGAGTGAGGTGGAAGGAGAGAAAAGGCAAGGAATAGATGATATAGAAAGAGTAGAAAAAAAAAATAGAAGAGAAAAAGAGTGAAAAAAATGAAAATGAGATAAATTGTGAGAAAAAGAATGACGGAGATAAAAGGCAAGTGAGTGAGAGTGATAAAATGAGAGAATTTGTTCCTATTGTTCCATTCCCTCAAAGGTTGAAGAAAAAAGAGCAAGAAAAGCAATTTACAAGATTTCTTCATGTCTTTAAAAAGCTCCACATTAATATTCCGTTTGCTGAAGCATTAGAGAAAATGCCAAGCTATGTTAAATTCATGAAGGACTTGCTGTCTAGTGTTAAGTCTCAATTATACTTCTTTTTGGATAAGACTTATTGAACAATTCCACTCATCCTTTGCACCATTGCAAGATAATTTTTCTCTTTTTGATTCATTTTTTGTGCAGATATAACTAACCCAGAATTTAGATAACAATACCTTAATACACCTCATTTTTTGTGCAGGTATTGAGCTAGAGAATTGAGGATTGAAGACCCATAGGATTGGAAATCTAAGGAGCTAAGGAGCATAGAAGAGTGACTGCGCTGGGCGCAAGATGACCCGCACCAGGCTTGATCGAAACAGAGTATCTCACCTCTGCAAGTCATAGTTGTGCCGGGCGCGAGACTACCCTCGCCGGGCGTGATCGAGACAGAAAGTATCTCAAACTCTCTGGAAGGCATTGCACCAGGTGTAAAAGGAATTGCGTCGGGCGTGTCATGAGGCAGAGAGTACTTGACCTTCCTGGAAGGCCCTGCGCTGGGCGCAAAGACTTATGCGCCGGGTGTGTAACCCTAATCTGACTTCCCAAGCTTGTATTTGAAGAAACTTTCGAGGGTTTTCTTCTCATTCGCACATTGGACGCGTTTTAGGAGCTGAGGAAGGGATTCCCAGAGCTTGGGACCGTTCGTGTGTGGGTCTTTCCTTCGGTTCTTCATTCTCTCTTCCATCTCTATTTTTGTTTTACCCTCATTGTTTTGAGTGGTTCTACCCATTGTTTTGTGGGGTTAGATGTAACCAACGTACTCTATTGTAATCCTTACGTTTTAATGATATATACGTGTTGTTTTATTCATTGTTGTGTATGTTTCTATTCTTAATGCTTGCTTTGGATTGATTCTCCTTGCATGATATAGGTTCCATTGGGTATTGGAAAATAACCTTTGAAACTAGCTCTGAAACAAATGCCTAGTGGGAAATGTATCTAGGAATGGAGCTTGGCCCATTAGTAGTCTTAAACCCTAACCCGTAATGCGGGTGTAGGTATTGGATACTCAAGGAATTGATATTCATTATCCGCACCTAGGCTCTTACTCTAAGGGATTAGGTTTGAGTAAACTTATGGGTTGACTAAGCAATGGATATAACAAGAGATTAAGGATTCATTAGTGTGACGTTCGGTGATATCTGACCCCACAATCTCACAAAACCATAATACCATTTCTACCCCTTTTCCACACACAAACCATAATTTTATAGTTAACATTCCAGTAGTCATACTCTTCAATTCACAATTACATGACAAACTACAAAATTGAAATTATTCTTTAGTCACGAATAGTCAATAAATGCTTATTTTACCTACTAATCCCCGTGGATACGATAATTTTACTACTTGAATGACCGATATACTTGCCGTGTTTGAGTCTATTGATATAATTAAAATGATTTACAATAATAACAAAAGTAATTTCAACGGAAATCTCAACATCTAGAAAAAGGAAGCTTCAAGAAGATGAAACAATAATGCTCACAAAGGAGTGTAGTGCAATAATTCAACAAAAATTACCTCCCAAGTTGAAGGATCCAGGAAGCTTTGTAATCCCATGTGAGATTGGAAATTTAATGGTGAGCAAGGCATTGTGTGACCTTGGAGCAAGCATCAATTTGATGCCCTTGTCCATTTTTAAAAGGTTGGGCATTGGAGAAGTGAAGCCTACTATGATAACTCTACAACTAGCCGACCATTCAGTAACTTATCCTTATGGCGTAGTGGAGGATGTCTTAGTAAAGGTGGATAAATTTATTTTCCCAGCTGACTTTGTGGTTCTTGACATGGAGGAAGATGCTAAAGTCCCAATTATATTGGGAAGACCATTTTTAGCCATAGGTTGAACATTGATAGATGTATAGCAAGGTGAGTTGATGTTGAGAGTGGCTAATGAAAAAGTTACTTTTTCTATAAACGAAGCTTTGAAGCATAAGGTGGACAAGGAGGATTGTTTCCAGGTGAAAATAATTGATGCTCTAGTGTTAGAAGAGATAAGAAAATATATGAGAAAGGGTCCATTAGAGGGAGCCTTGTTAACAAAAATGGGAGCAAAGGAGTTGAGTAAGAAGGTGAATGATGAAGAGGTGGTGGTTTGTGTTTATCAATTAGAAGCCCTTAAGCCATTACTTAGTTCCAAAAGAGGGGTAAAAGAACTAAATAGAAGTGAGAGAGGAGTGGAAGAGACAACAAAATTAGAATTGAAACAACTCCCTTCCCACCTTAAATATAGGTTCTTAGATGAGCAGAAGCTTAACCCTGTAATTGTGAACAATGAGTTGACTAATGTTGAGGAAGAAAAGCTTTTGAGGGTGTTGAGAGAGCATAAATTTACTTTAGGTTGGATTATTGATTATTTAAAAGGTATTAGTCCTACTGTTTGTATGCATAAAATTTGTTTGGAGGAGGACTTTAAACCTGTGCGTCAACCACAACGGAGGCTTAACCCCACTATGAAGGAAGTCGTGAGAAAAGAAGTCATTAAGCTATTGGATGTAGGTATTATTTATCCAATTTCTGATAATGAGTGGGTGAGTCCTGTTCAAGTTGTACCCAAGAAAGGTGGGATGACGGTAGTGACAAATGAGAACAATGAACTCATTCCCACCAAAAAAGTTACAGGTTGGCGTATTTGTATTGACTATAGAAGATTGAATAAAGCCATAAGGAAGGGCCATTTTCCACTACCTGTTGTGGATCAAATGCTAGAGAAATTGGTTGGGCATGAGTATTACTATTTTTTGGATGGCTATTCTGGTTACAACTAGATAGCAGTGACCCCTGAAGATCAAGAAAAGATAGCCTTTACATGCCCTTATGGAGTGTTTGCTTACAGATGGAGGCCATTTGGTCTCTGCAATGCACCTGCTACATTTCAGAGGTGTATGTTTTCCATTTTTTCCGATTTAATTGAAAATTGCATTGAGATCTTCATGGATTATTTTTCTGTATTTGGCTCTTCATTTGATTCTTACCTCACTAACCTAACTTTAATTAGTATTAAAAATATGCCAGGAATCTAATTTGGTGCTTAACTGGGAGAAGTGCCACTTTATGGTAAGAGAAGGTATTGTCCTTGGTCATCAAATTTCTGCTAAAGGTATTGAGGTAGATAGAGCAAAGGTAGAAGTAATTGAACAATTACCTCTTCCTGTGAATGTGAAAGGGGTTAGAAGCTTTCTAGGTCATGTAAGATTTTATAGGCGGTTTATCAAAGATTTTTCTAAAATAGCTAAGCTTATGACTAATCTACTTGAAAAAGAAGCCCTTTTTTTTGTTTGATGATGCATGTTTACAAGCATTCAACACCTTTAAGAAACAACTTATTTCTGCTCCCATAATTACAACACCTAATTGGTCTTTACCATTTGAAATTATGGGTGATGCTAGTGACTATTCTGTAGGTGTTGTATTAGGACAAAGAAAAGAAAATTTGTTTCATGTTATATATTATGCTAGACGTGTGTTGAATGAGGCTCAAAGGAATTATACCATGACTGAAAAAGAATTTCTTACTATGGTGATTGCTTTTGATAAATTCAGACCTTATCTTGTTGGCTCTAAGGTCATTGTTTATACTGATCATGCTGCTTTGAGATATTTGTTTGCTAAACAGGATGCCAAGCCACGATTGATTCATTAGATTCTCTTACTACAAGAGTTTGATTTGGAAATTCGAGATAAGCAAGGGAAGTAAAATTTGGTAGCTGACCATCTTTCAAGATTGAAGCTTGATAAGGCAAAGAAGGAGGTCAAGCCTATTTTAGAGGAGTTTCCAGATGAGAAGCTGTTGGTCATTACTTCTCTACCATGGTTTGCTGATTTTGCCAACTTTAAGGCAGCTGGTGTAATTCCTCATGAATTTACTTTTTAGCAAATAATTTTTTTTGCATGATGCTAAATTCTATTTTTGGGATGATCCTTTGTTGTTTAAAAGGTGTGCAGATGGTATAATTAGGAGATGTGTTCCTGAGAGTGAGTTTGAGAGTATTTTTTGGCAGTGTCATGGATCAGATTATGGAGGGCATTTTAGTGGGGAAAGGACAGCTTCTAAGGTGTTACAGAGTGGATTCTAATGGCCTACCCTCTTTAAGGATGCTCGTAGTTTTATTGAAAGGTGTGATAGATGTCAAAGAGTGAGGAATATTTCAAGGAGGAATGAGATGCCCTTAAATAATATACTTGATGTGGAAATTTTTTATGTTTAGGGAATAGATTTTATGGGGCCACTTGCTTCTTCCTTCTCAAACCAATACATTTTGGTTGTTGTAGACTATGTGTCTAAATGGGTAGAGGCTAGTGCATTGCCAACAAATGATGCTAAATTTGTGGTTTCTTTCATCAAGAAACACATTTTTACTAGATTTGGTGAGCCTAGAGCAATAATTAGTGATGGAGGTTCACACTTTTGCAACAAGCAATTTGAGTCACTCTTAGGAAAATATGGTGTAAAACACAAGATAGCTACCCCTTACCATCCACAGACTAGATGATGTACTTTGGGCTTACCGTGCAACTTTTAAAACTCCTATTGGAATGTCACCATATCAATTGGTGTATGGGAAATCATGTCATTTACCTGTGGAATTAGATCATAAAGCATTTTGGGCTACTAAATTGTTAAATTTTGATTTAAAGAATGCAGGTGAGAGAAGGTTGTTACAATTGGATGAGCTAGAGGAGTTTAGATTGCAGGCATATGAAAATGCTAAAATCTATAAAGAGAGCACAAAAAATGGCATGATAAGAGAATTGTGATTAAAGAGTTTGCACCGGGACAACAAGTGTTGCTATACAATTCTAGCCTCAAATTATTTCTAGGTAAATTAAGATCCCAGTGGTTAGGTCCTTTTGTTGTTAAATAAGTATTCCCCTTTGGTACAATTGAAATTTCATATATCAATTTAGAAAGAAGTTTTAAAGTTAATGGTCAAAGATTGAAATTGTACCTAAGGGGTGATTTTGAAAGAAATAAGACCATTGTTAATCTAGCACCACCGGCTGAAGGTGGTCAATGTTAAGTCTCAATTATACTTCTTTTTGGACAAGAATTATTGAACAATTCCACTCATCCTATGCACCATTGCAAGATAATTGTTCTCTTTTTGATTCAATTTTTGTGCAGATATAGCTAACCTAATTTCATCTAACAATACCTTGATACACCTAATTTTTTGTGCAGGTATTGAGGGATGAGTTGAAAGTTGAAGACCCATTGGATTGGAAATTAAAGGAAAAAAGGAGCAGGAGAAGAATAATTGCGTCGGGCACAAGACTACCCGCGCCGAGCTTGAGCAAAACAGAGTGTCACACCTCTACAATTCATAATTGTGTTGGGCGCAATAAGGTGCACCGGGCGTGATTGAGACAGAGAGCAACTCAAACTCTCTGGAAGACATTGCGCCCGACTTAAAAGTAATTACGCCGGGCATGTCTTGAGGCAGAGAGTAACTAAACTCTCTGGAAGGCCCTGCGCTGGGCACAAAGACTAATGCGTCGGGCGTGTAACCCTAATCTGACTCTCCAAGCTCGTATTTGAGCAAATCTTCGAGGTCTTTCCCCTCATTCACACATTGGGCGAATTCTAGGAGCTGAGGAAGAGATTCCTGGAGCTTGGGACCGTTCGTGTGTGGGTCTTTCCTTCGGTTCTTCATTCTCTCTTCCATCTCTATTTTTGTTTCACCCTCATTGTTTTGAGCGGTTTTACCCATTATTTTGTGGGGTTAGATGTAACCAACGAAACTCTTATGTAATCTTTACGTTTTTAATGATATATATATGTTTTGTTTCATTCATTGTTGTGTATGTTTCTATTCTTAATGCTTGCTTTGGATTGATCCTCCTTTGCTTGATATAGGTTCCATTGGGTATTGGAAAATAACCATTGAAACTAGCTCTGAAATAAATGACTAGTGGGAAATGTATCTAGGAATGGAGCTTGGCCCATTAGTAGTCTTAAACTCTAACCCGTAATGCGGGTGTAGGTATTGGATACTCAAGGAATGGATATTCATTACTTGCACCTAGGCTCTTGCTCTAAGGGATTAGGTTTGAGTAAACTTATGGGTTGACTAATCAACGAATGTAATAAGAGATTAAAGATTCATCAGTGTGTAGTTCAGTGATATCTGACCCCACAATCTTACAAAACCATAATATCATTTCTACCCTTTTCCACACACAAAACAAATACTTTTATAGTTTAACATTCCAATAGTCACAACCTTTAATTCAAATTTGCATGACAAACTATGAATTTGGAATTATTCTTTAGTCACGAATAGTCAATAAATGCTTATTTTACCTACTAGTCCCTGTAGATACGATATAATTTACTACTTGACCAGTCGGTATACTTGCCGTGTTTGAGTCTGTTGATATAATTAAAATGATTTACAATGATAACAAAAGTAGTTTTAACAGAAATCTCAACAGTCAACAAGTTTAACAAAATGCTTTTTAAAAAAATAATGATAAAATATTAAAAAAAAACCTTATATATATATAAGGTTTAGGGTTTATATATATATA